TCAAAATATCATTTCAACCAGTACAGAAAGTTTTTGATGTCGCGCGTTTTTCTTGCTCTACTATAAGTATCTAGTCATGGCACCTCGACCCTCAGTGCGGACACAACGGCTCCCGTTGTCCCTTGTGTCCTTAATTCGTCCAACTCCAAGCAAAACCTTTGTAGCTCCTCCCAAACCTATGAAGATTTCCCGATCATTGTATTCGTAAACTTGGCCAATTGTGCTCTAGACAGATCAAGCTCCAACTTGAACTTGGCAACCTTATCTTGGAGAGACTCCACCATGAGCCTAATCACCTCGTCCCCTTTGAAAAATCTGCCCATGACCTCATTTAGTATGACTTGCATGTCACCATGCAACTCTTCCACCTCAGGTTGTGTCATGCGTTCGTTGAACTTACCCCAGTGGTCATGACGATTAGCAACGGTTAGCTCCACCCAAGCTAGCCTTTTCTCAAACACGGCCAACAGCTCTTGAGCAATGGACTTGTCCCTACGGCCCTTGCCTTTAGTAACCCTCTCCAACTCTCATGGGACATGTTTCTCTTAGACCTCTCATTGCATGCTAGCGTCTGATGTAATGGCCATTCACTGGTGCCCTAAACCCACGGTATCAAGCACAGCTCTAATACTAGCTATCACAGGCCAACTGTCATAGTTTTAGTGACTCGTGTTGCACTAGCAGTCGTTTAGCCTTCCTTACTTGAAGATCACTAGTTCAATCTAACCTCTTGGGCATTCAAGCAGTGTCAGTTATGCGGAAGCGTTAGAAAACGTACATAAAGTAAAGGCTATGAAAAGAAAGCTAAAGATAAAGGTTATTGCTCAAAAGAGCTCTCTACTTCTTGATTGTTTTTTTACCAACTTTCCAACTTGGTTATAAATATAGAGGTCTTACTCTATTTACAGGCAAAGCCCTCAAGACTCGAGATGGCTCTAGACTCTTCTACCAACTAAGCTATACAACTTGTTCTTCTATAATGTCTTCTAATCTCTTGAATGTTCCCTTTTCTATGCTACACAAGTGTGAACCTCTAGAAGGTTCCATACTATTCTTGTCTTAAGCTTCTTATGTACAATCCTCTTGAACAACGTAAAGAGATCCGGAAGCCTCTAGGTCATGCTACATACTTCTAACAATGTTTGGAGAAACCTCCATGGGTTGGCCAAGCCTTCCATGGCTTGCCACTTGTTTGGGGGATTAGGGGGTGGGTCTACTAACAGTCCTAATATTTCTGCTATTTCTCTTATATACAGTAGTGTTGCCAGGCTTGGGACTGACGCGCATGGTCGCATGTTGTCAGGTGCGATCTGTGTCACAAGAAAGCTGCTATTGATAGAAATCATCACTATCACCATCAAGTTCCATAACCCCAAGAAAATATAGTAAAATTTCTTCTATTCTTGTTCTTGATTTTACATATTTATAGCTAAAACTATATGGAATATATGATTGCTAATTCATTTTTGTTTTGTTTTTTTTGGTTTTTTGTTTGCTCACCTTAAAATTGTGTTTTGGTTTTTTTTGGGATGTTTTCAAGGTTCATTGCCCCATTTAAGCTACCTCTCATCATTGATTTATCTTTCATTATTTTACTGATATTGTGTGTATACACGAGAGCATGATATGTGGTTGTTAATGAAAAATTTTGGGTCAAGAATATGCAAACTTGATGGACTAAAACTTTGTTTCATTATGCCTTGTTCTTATTTGATAAAATGCCTGAGATAAGAAAAAAGTGAGTTTTGCTACTATTTGGATTTAAAATTTTTGTATTTGCACTTTCTCTTACAAACCTGAATTATGGTTGGATTGTGGATTGGAAAGGTTCTTTTGGTATAAATTTTACAAATTTTGGTAAAGATTTGCGTGATTTTTGAAAAAATAATACCTGACTACATTTTGCCATTTTTTTAACCACTTTTGGTTCATTTTTTTTTTTACAAAAAATAAGGTCAAAAATCGATTCTACGCAAAAAATAGAGTGGGAAGGTGTAATTTGGTGAATTTTTACGATCGAAGAAGTCGTTAGTGACCGGCAGTCGGTGATGGTCTGTGGCGGCGCCGTTGTTGGCATCTGCCATGATCACGGGTGAAGATAAGATTCAGTCGACCAAAGGTGAGAAAGAAGAAAAGGGAGGAAGAAGAAGAAAAAAAAAGAAAAAAGGAAAAAGAAAAGAAAGAAAAAGGAAGAAAAAAAGTGGACTGTTTCTTTTAATTCACTTAAGCTTGTGTTTTTACTTTTTATTGGGTTTGCGATTGCATTTTGAAGTTAAGCCCAATATTTTCATTATGCTTAATTTTATGTAAGTTTCAATTTAGTTTCCTTTTTTCCCGCACCTTTCTTTCAAGCTAAAATATGCCAACCTAAAGACTAAATAAAATAATGACCCAATTTGTTTCTTCATATTTTCTCAAATCAGAAATGATTTTTACTATTTGGACCCTAAATTTTTGAATAATTTTACTATAGCCCAAAAAATTTTAAATTTATTTCATTTAGGCCCTTAATTTAATTACATTTTGGCCCATAATTTTTATTTTTATTTAATTTTGACCCCAATCTTTTAAGAATTGTAATTGGACCTCAAAAATTTTTTATTTTCAATTCAATCCCTAATATTTTTTATTTCTTAATTTCAATTGTTTCTCCTCTTTAATTACTAATTATGCTTCATTTAAATGTATTTAATTTGTAAATTTTAGATGTTTTAAATTTATTTACATTTTTTAAAATAATAAGGTGAATTTAGTATATGTTTATTTTCTCTTTTAAAGCGTTTTCAATTAAATATCCTTTTATTGACTGTGAATATAAATAGGGCAAATTTACCTTATTTAGTCACCACTTCAAAAGAGAGGTATCCCTATTATCTTTTGAATTCTGATTATGTGATCTCATGTGCTCCTATGTGTTTTTTATTTATTTTAAATTCACATTCATTTTTATGTTTATTTAATTTATATTTTTGTAACTATTTTGGAGCATTTGAATACCCAAGATGTAATAGATAGGTAATATTTTTTCTTTTTTTTTTTGACAAAACTCGTAATTAGATAGACCAATATAATAGATAGGATAGTTAAATTTATTTTATTATATTTTTTCACTTTAGATTGTAATTAGGTTCCTAAATGTAATATATAAGTTAAAACATATCTATTTTCTCACACTACCCCTTTAAATTGTAGTTAGGTCCACCATTGTAATAGATACGTTTTGTGTGTTTATGTTTTTTTTGCCACTCCCCAAAAATTTATTACGAGATTGAAAGAAACGAAAGCCGAAATCACAAATGAACCGTCCTGCTACTCCCCTAACTGGTCGTAACGAATTCTCCTAACTGAAGGAACCCCTATCCTATCTAGGCACATGGCACCTCTAGCTATTGCAGGTATGGCTGCCGTGAAAGTGTAAATCTCCTCTCCCCCATGAGAGCACCCTACATTCGATAAAGCATCAGCCACTTGATTCGCCTGGTGGAGACAATGCCTAACCCATAAAACATGATCTTTCAAAGAAAAGAACTGCTGAACCTCCTTATAGACACTCCATGGACAGCCAACCTTTCCAATTAAGATGTGTACTAATAAGAGCGAATCTAGTTCAACCTCAAACCTGCTAAACCCTCTTCGCACACACAGCTTCACTCCAAACAGAAGAGCTCGAGCTTCGGCCTGCAGACTAGTAGCTTCTCTTATGTGTTTACTTAATTTAATTCTTTTGGAGCTGGTATCAGAGCTGTTTTAGTGTTGCCTGAAGGAAAACATTACCCTGGTTCGGCTAAACTGCAATTTTCCTGCACTAACAATATGGCTAAATATGAGGCTTGTATTTTTGGACTAAAAATGGCATTGGAAATGGAGATCAAGGATTTAACAGTGTTCAGTGATTCCGATTTACTCATGCATCAAACGCTCAAAGAATGGATCACCCGAGATTCAAAGATTTTGCCATATCATTGCAAATAAATTTAGAAGTTTGGAGTTTAGGCACATTCCACGTACCAGAAATGTTTTTGCCAATGCTCTGGCTACTTTATCTTCAATGATTCAACATCCGGATGAGCTGGTGATTGAACCTATCTAGATTCAATTGCAAGAAAAGCCTGCACATTGTTTGGTTATATAAAAATCTTCTAATAGCCGTCCCTGATACAGCAATATCAAGGAATTTCTCAAAACGGGGTCTTATCCTCCAAGTGCTGATACAACTGCTAAATGCTTCTTGCGTAGATTATCAATCAAGTTCTTCTTAAATGGAGAGGTGGTCTACAAAAGAACATCAGACTTGGGCCTTCTGAGATGTATTGATGAAGACGAAGCAGACTATTTGATGAAAGAAGTGCACAGTGGAGTGTGTGGATCACATATGAATGGGCATTTATTAGCAAAGAAGATCATGAGGACCGGATATTTTTGGCTTACTATGGAGCATGATTGTGTAGTTTTTGTCAGAAAATGCATTAAATGTTAATTGCATGGGGATGTTATGCGCACTCCCCCCACAGAATTACACAGTGTGACTACTCCCTAGCCATGCTCAATGTGGGGTATGGATGTAATTGGAACCATTGACCCTCCTACTTCAAACGGGCATCGATTTATTCTGGTGGCAATTGAATATTTTACTAAGTGGGTTGAGGTTGAGTCTTACAAGCATGTGACTAAGAAGGTGGTGGCTGATTTTCTAATAAAACACATCATTTGTCGTTTTGGTGTGCCAGAAACATTGATCACCGATAATGCCAAGAATCTCAACAATGACATGGTGGATGGATTGTGCGAGCAGTTCAAGATCAAACATCGGAATTCCACTATTTATAGACCGTAGATGAATGGAGATGTGGAGGCCGTGAATAAGAACTTGAAGAAGATAATCCATAAAATGACCGAAAGGCATCGTGATTGGCACGAGAAGCTGCCCTACACATTAATGGCATATCAAACGGCTATTCGGGCTTCTACTATGACAATGCCTTACAAACCTCATGTATGGAATGGAAGCAGTTCTGCCAGCTGAGGTTAAAATTCCTTCACTGCGCATACTAATGGAGGTCAAATTGGATGAAGCTGATTGGATTAAACAACGTCATGAGCAGTTGTCTTTGATTGATGAGAAGAGGTTAAATGCCATTTGTCATGGTCAGTGCTATCAAAAGAGAATGGCCCGTGCCTACAACAAGAAGGTCAAGGTGCGACTGTTCAAAGAAGGAGATAAAGTGTTGAAACGAATTTTGCCTGTACAAGAGGAGGCTAAAGGCAAGTTTGCCCCAAATTGGCAAGGCCCTTTTATTGTCAAGAAAGTGTTGCTTGGTGGAGCACTTATTCTCACTGAAATGGATGGACAAGTTTTTTCCCAACCGATCAATTTAGATATGTGTAAGAAATTCTTCATCTAATAAAAGGAAGTTTTCTTTTAGGGTTAATGCAAAGAATGGAATGAAAGTCAGGCCTTTTTCATTTCCAATTAAACATGATGTCCCTAGTTATCTCTTTTGAACCTTCAGAATAAATTATTTCGGTTGGCAACCCCTGAGGGCTGCAAACCCCACATTGGGGCAAATTTTAGTTGAAAAGGAAAAAGAGAAAATCTCAAAAGACAAAAAATAATAGGGGAACAAAAGCAAAAGAAAATGAAAAAACCTCAGTTGAGAATAAATTGGGGCAATTTTAGTAGGGTTAATATGAAGATGCGACCTCAGGTCATTTAACCACTTGTAAAATCCGCATTCAAGCCTTAACTTTTCTAAGCACCCTACCAGACCCCATTACAAAAACTAAAAGTCCTGACTTCCGTTCTTTGTATCACCTTTTTTAGGAAAATTTCTAATCAAATAGCAAATGATGTCAATACACCTTCACCAATTTTGTAAGGGAAGGATTGTCGTACTAATGCCATCATTTCTTAAAACACATTTCTGAGTTGATAAGGGTTATCGGCAGGATTTGTTTATCAAGTGAAAACCCGAAAGGGCACATTTGAGAAGAAAGAGAAAAGAAGAGAAAAAGAAAAGAAAAGAAAAGAAAAAGAGAAAAGAAAAGGAAGGAAAAGAGAAGAAAAGAAAATGAATAAAAGAAAATAAAAGGGTGGGGGCAACCTTAGTGAAAACCTGAAAGGGCGCTAAGGTAGGTGTAGACACCAAATTTTTGATTTTTTTTTTAACTTTATTTGTTTAATTAATTTAATCTTAGCTTTATTTGTTTCAATTTTAGGGTTTCATTTATTATTATTTATTATTATTATTATTATTTTTATTTTTATTATTGTTATTTATTTTATTTTTGTTCTAGCGTATTTTTGGCTTCACATTAAATTTCAGGAAAAACAAAAGAAAAGAGAAAAGGAAAAAGAAAAAGGTGAAAATGACAAGTGGGACTGCATGCACTTAGACAAGTGTCTTTTCTATGTTTTAGGCAACTAAGCACCTAAGGGGTGAGGTGTTAGGGACATTTGGGAAGTTAAGGAATTTTTTGGGGGGTCAAAGTAGAATTTTGTGAGGGCTAAAAAAAATAAAAATAGAAAAGGGTTTCGTTGAGGAGAAGCTTGGCCGGGGGAACAGAAGGAAAAAGAGAAAAAAAAACTTGAAAACTCGGGGAAGCTTGGCGGCTGAAAAAAAAGAGAGCAAGAACAAAGGGAGGGGATTGAATCTGAAAATTTGGGGGAAATTTGCGAGAGACGGCTGAGTTTGGAGAGAAAGTTGAGAGAAACGCAAGGGAAACAAGCAGGAACAACAAAAATGAGAAAACAGGGGCGGCGGATGGAAATCCGGAAGGAAAGCCAGTGGAAGGAGGTCGGCTGGGAGGGATCAAATGAAAAAAACTATCGGGCAAGAAGGAAAAGAGAGTAACAAGAATTGAAAGGGCAGCGAGCTGAGCAACAAAAAAAAACAAAAAAAAAAGGCAAGAAAGATCCTACGGAGAACTAAGGGAAGTCGGCTAAGGGCCAGAGAAAAACAGAGAAGGGCAAATGAAGGCCGAGAGAGGGGAGTTTCGTCTTGAGAGCCAAAAGGAAAAACAGCAAGGACCGAGAGGATTTCGGTGGTGGGGATGGCAAAACGAAAAGAGGAAAAACTATGAGGCTGCGGCGGCAGGAGAGGCGATGGAGATAAAGAGGGATTCAGAAACGAGGCAGAAAGGGTGATGGGGAAATCTGGGCAACAGTTGCAGCTTGCGGCTGGAAAGGAAAACACAGAGCTGCCGCTGCTCATGCCGCTACCACCTCGCCGAACCCACCATTATCACCGGCAGATTTTCTCCAAGCAAAAACACAGTAAGCCATTTCTTTCCTTTGTGAATGTCAGTTTTCTTTCTTCGTCGAATGTAAACGCTGGAATCCCGAAACACGTCTTTTGTGAATTTGAAATTGCAATTTTTCTGTGGATTGTCCGTAATTTTTTAATTGCACATGCTTTATGGTTTAATTGGGCTGAAATCTGTTGTTGATTGAATAATTTTGGGGGCTGATTAACTTGAATTTGAGCGAGAATTAATGAAAGTTTTAATGCTCCTGACCTGTTCGATGAAATGCCCAGCTAAGATTCTTAATTGAAAGATAACTTGTCTGCAATTTTTGCGTGAAGAAACTGGACATGCTAGCAAGTTCAATTCTTTGCATTTGAGAAGCTCTGATGAATTGGTGTTTTGCATTTTCTGTTTTTCTGTTCTACTCCGAATTAATATTTGGAGATGAAGCTTTCGCTTGGGCGAATTTTGTTACATGTTGGGACTGATTGCAATTAAAACCAGATTTCCTGGTATGGCTGCCCAAGAAGGGAGCTAAAATGCTAAACTGATATCAAGCTCGTTGCAGAAGACAATCAATTGTCTAAAATTACATTCTCAGCCCCTCCGTTTTTGCTTCCACTGTGATATAACCCCAAAGTTGTTAGAACTTCATAATTTGCCCCCCGAAACTATTGTAATTCCTTCAATTAGATCCCTGTTTTGTTGCATTTGAACCCCTCAAGTTCTCCCCTCATTCTGATATGACCCAAAGATTAGAAAGGTTGAACTTACCTCATCCTTTTGAATTTTAATCATCATCTCATTTTCTTAAGTAGCCTTTTGGGCTTGATTAGCTCTTGTTTATGGGTCATAATTGTGGCATAATAATTTTAATTGATTTGTTCATCTTGTTGGGTTTAGTGAAATAAGTGTTGTGGATTAAGAGGATATTTTGTTTGGGTTTTAGAAATGGGTTGTTGACTTTCTTTTTGGGTTTTGATTTGGGCTTAGAAGATTAACATCTAACACTTTTTTGATTGGGTTTTGATGGTGAGTCTATCTGTTTTGATTTGGGTTTAGTTTATTATTCTTTTGGGCTTTGGTTTGGGCTAGAAGGGAGAAGTCCACCGTTTTTGTTGATTAATCTTTGTGTCAAAATAATAGACTGGCCCACTTCATTTACCCTGGGTTTTTCGGTTGGGCTTGGGAAGTCTTAGCCCACGGAAATAAATACAAAGGCCCAATGGCCTATCTGACTAAGAATCTGGTGACCATATTTGCAAATCAGTCCCTTGATTTCTCCGTAATTGTATTGTGACCCTGGACATTTTCAACTTCTTTCAATTGGGTCCCTAACTTAATTGCAAATAGGCCCCTAAACTTTATTTTTCTTTAATTTTGACCCCAAAACTTTGTTAATGATTGCAATCAAGTCTCTTATTCTTTTGACTTCTTAAATGTGTTTGTTGACATGATTTAATTGATTCAAATTCATGTTTATTTTTATCCTTTGTGATTATTTGCCAAATAAATTGGTACCTTGACCTTTTTATTATTTTGGAGGGTAAATTAGTAATTTCACTACGTTAGAGCTCCAACTCCAGGGAGGTATAATTTCTTTTATCTTTTTTGTCTCTCTTATGTGAACTAATGTGCTACGTGAGAAATACATGTCTACTTTGCTTTCCTAGCCTTTCTTTAATTCCTTTTACTTATGTCATTCACTTTTTGTTTTCATTAAGTTATTCTTTTAATGGGGTATGTGTACACCTCTTGGCTTGTAATAGATAGGGCTATGGCGAGCAATTTGGTCCATTTTCCCTTTCCCCTTTTGTTTTAGTTAGTGAATGTAATAGGTTCATTAGCTTGGTTACATGCCTACGTGTTAAGTGTTAATTCGCTTTATTAGGTCCTTGCATCTAGTCAAGCATGCTAAGTGTTGTGTGCTACGTGTTTATAAGTGATTCGCATGTCTACTCGCTTCTTATAGTCATGAATGAATGTGATGGATGAATGGACGTCACCACACTAGTCCAACGCTAGTTGTGGTTCATTGTTCCGTTTCCACTAGTCCAATGCTAGTAAAAATTCATAGAAAGAGCTAGTCCAATGCTAGACCCAATAAGCCATTTCCCCTTTCGATAGTGCATATTTGCATGTTCACTACATGCCATGCATTTTTCTTAGTTTTATCATTTGGCATGCTCCTCGAACCCCTTTTCCCCTCATTTTAGGATTTTTGCATTTCATGCTAGTTAGGGTTCATTTGCCTGAAGAGTCCCCTTTTGATAAGGGAAACGAGCGAGTGTGGCTACTCGATAGCCTTAGCACGCTAGTTTTGCTTTCTAATCAAAGGGAAAATCGAAGTCGAAAAAGTTAGGAGTCATTCCCATACCCGACCTGATGCATTCCTTTAGGTTCATTCTCATTTTATCACTTATTCATTTTTCAATTCACATTTCCTTATCACATTTCCTTTCCTTATTGTTCATTTTGATTTTTACTTCACAAAAGTGCACTTAATTACACCTATATGCACTTATCACTATATTTCATACACTTGCACACAAACACTTGGAATTTTCATACAATTTCACACATGCACCTTTTCATACACTGGCACACAAACACTTGGATTTTTCATACAATTTCACACATGCACCTTTTCATACACTGGCACACAAACACTTGGATTTTTCATACAATTTCACACGTGCACCTTTTTATACACTTGCACACTTGTACTTTAGCCATCATTTGCATTAATCGACCTCTATAAGGTTTTCCTTTATTGGCCGCCACAATTCATGTGGTTGGGACCAAAAACCTTACAAGAGACATTTTAGAATTTAGGTTTGCATTTTTTCTTTTCTTTTACATTCATGTAGTGCATCCAAATGTAATAAATTCTTTGGTTAAAACAAGAAAAACTTTGATTAAATCACGCAACTAGCCTTGGCTAGGTCGAAGGGGTGCCTTGGATTTTTATCCTTGCCTTCCCCTTCGTCAAGTGTGACTCCCGAACCTTTTTCGTTGGTTTACGTGGACTAGGAGTCGTTTAAAAGGGGTTTCTTACTACTTTTTCCTATTTTTCCTTTAAAAAACTCATTTTTTAGGTGACTTGGTACACCTTAACTCATTACCAAGTGGCGACTCCAATTTTATTATTCCAAAA